CGAAACGTCAGCCTCTCTGCTCCTATGATGCTGCTTGGCCTGCTGTGTTCATCCAGCCCTGCACCTTGTTGTCTCAGATTCTTCTTTCTGAAGAAGGGTCTAGGCCCGAAACGTCAGCCTTCCTGCTCCTCTGATGCTGCTTGGCCTGCTGTACTTATTGTTATGCACTTGTGCATTTATACGCTGGTACTGTTTTTAATGTGGCATACAAAGGCATATTTTTAGCTATGCCAACTAGTTAAATTAATACACCATTTTTGCCATGATGGAAAGGCTCTCCATTGTGGAGTACATCCATGTCTATGGGTAGAGCCTTGCCAGTCCCTGAGTAGTGTGGGCTATAGTGACAAATCTGGGAAAGTTGTGTCAGATGTGCAGCAATGTTCTGAGTGATGAGTCCAAAAAGTTGCTTCCACCAACCAAGTCCTGGATGTCATGATGAGATTCTCGCTAGTGAGCAGCCAGAGTGGCCTATAAGCAGGAATTATTGCTCATTATCATCCTCACAATTTCTTGACTTGATGCTCAGAGTAGAGTGGGGGATATGGCAGGCTGTGAGGCTAGTAGATTGTGTTTGATTACAATTCTGCTGCTGCTGATGGCCCACAGCGCCTCAGCTCAGTTTTGAGCATCTATTATCTGTTTTGAATCTAAGCCATTTGCATGTCCTTCAGGAGTCAACCAACTCCAGCAGTTTTGAGGATAGATTGATGGAAGCTTAGGCTGTTCTCCTGAGAAGGGTGAGGAGAAAATCAATAGAGATGTTCAAATATATGAGGGATTTGGACGAGTAGCTAGAGAGAAACTACTCATGTTTAAGGATGAGTCACGAATCGGTAAATTTAAAGTGTTTGGGTAAAGAACCAAACACACGATGAGGAAAATATTTTTATTAAGCAACTGGTTATCTGGAACTTGTTTCAAAGGATGATGGCAGCAAACTCAGTTGTAGCTTGCAAAGTAAGCCCCGAAATGGAAAATTTTGTAGGGCTACGCTAAGAAGAAATCAAGAGTGTTTAAGTAAACCAATCTGGAGTAAGCTGGTTTGATGGGCCAAACAGTCTCTATCTGTGCTGTATACATTTTAGGGCTATATAGGTAATAAATCTAACCACAGGTTTTCAAAATACACATAATTTTAAGGAGTAACAGTGGAAAAAATGGTTAGAACAAAAAAAGTCGAGAATCTATTTAATTGTTGCAATTGAAGGGCCCTATTCCAAATACTATCCTGTATTTTCTGTTTCAAAGTTGAGACAGTGCAGAAGAGATTTACCAATGTTTCCTGGGTTGGGGTGATTCAGCTAAAAGAAACTAGATAGGCTAGGGCTGTTTTCCTTAGAGCAGAGAAGGCTGAGGGGTAATCTAATTGAGGAGTACAATGTTCTGAAGGAAATAGACAGGGTAGATATGGGGGAGGAGATGACATGTGGTTTTATCATTAGTCTATCAATTTACAGACCCCCATAATGTTTTGGGAACCTAGGTTCAAATCCTGCCATGGCAGAAGGAATTTAATAACAAATCTGGAATTAAGACTTTAAGGGTGACGATGAAACTGTTGTCCATCATCAGGAAACACTCATCTGGTTCACTCACGTCATTGACAGAAGAAAACTGCTATCCTAACTTTGTCTGATGTACATGTGATCCAGACCCACAGCAATGTGGTTGATTCTTAACTGCTTTCTGGGCAGTATGGCTTGGGAAATAAATGAATAAAACAAAAATAGGGAGAAACTTTATCCTTAATAGAGGGGTCAAAGTATAACCAGGGGGCACAATTGTAATGTAAGAGACAGGAGGTTAATACATGATTGGAGGAAATAAAACTCACCTGACAGGGTCTAAACTAAAGACATTGAGAACTATTTAGAGGAATACTTGAAGTGTATAAGGCAATGGGCCAAGTGTTGGAAATGGGACTAGAACAGATAAATACTTGATGATCTGGCACCTACACAAAGGATCTCTTACTGTGCTTTTAAAAACTCTATACTCAATCATTATTAACCAGCTGTTTGCATGACAAGCATTTATTGCTTTTAGTTCAGATTGCAAGAGATTTACTTTTAATTGAAACAAAAACAGAAACTTTTGAAGAAACTCAGCAGGTCCAGCAGCAGGGGAGAAAACAGAGTTAACATTTCGAGTTTGCCGACCTTTCTTCAGAACAAAAAACCTTACAGAACTGTCGATGCTGTAAATCAGAAACAAAAACCAAAGTTGCTGGAAAATCTCAGCAAGTCTGGCAGCATTTGTGAGAAAAATCAGAGTTACTGTTTTGGGTCCAGTGAGCCTTCCTCAGTACTGATGGTAGCTAGGAAACTGTCAGTTTATATGCAGAAGATAGAGTGGGGGGAGGGGTTCAGGAGTAAACAATAGGTGGGGTAGAGACCAAAGAGAGAGAAGAACAGTTGGACAGACAAAGGAGTGGATAACGATCTGGTTAGGAGACTGAATTGCTGTTAATGGGGACTGTTAGTGGCTAACAATAGGTAGTGGCAGACTATGTGATAACAAGGCCTGGTGTGTGGGGTAAGGGGCTAGGACATGGGAGAGTTCAAGGCCTAAAATGATCAAACTTGATATTGAGTTTCGAGGGCTTGGGGATCTCCAAGTAGAAATGAAGTCCTGTTCCTCCAGCTTGCGTTGAGCTTCGTTGGAACACTGCAGCAAGCCAGAGACAGAGATGTTGGCCAGGGAACAGGGCAGTGTGTTAATATGCAGGCAACTGGAAGCTCAGGGTCATTTTTGTGGGCAGAACGTGGATCTTCTGCAAAGTGGTCGCTCAGTCTATGCTTTGTTTCTCCAGTTTAGAGAAGACCACATTGTGAGCAGCGAATGCAGTAGACTAGATTGTGAGAAATGCAGGAAAAGCGCTGCTTCACCTGCAAAATATGTTTGGGCCCTTGGATACTGAGGCGGGAGGAGGTAAATGGGCAGGTGTTACACCTTTGGCAGTTGCAGGGGAAGGTGCTGTGGGATTGTGGGGGGGTTTTGGGAGTGAAGCAAGAGTGGACCAGGGTGTCCCAGATGGAATGGTCCCTGCTGAAGGCAGATAGGAGAGGGGACGGGAATATGTGTCTGGTAGTGGCATCTCGCTGGAGATGGCAGAAATAGCAGCTGATGATCTTCTGGATGTGGATGCTGGTGGTCTTGTTGATATGGACAAGAGGAACCCCATTGCTGTTGCAGGATGGAAAAGAGGGTGTGAGGGCGAACGTGCAGGAGATGGGTCGGACCCTGTTGAGGACCATGTCGACAACAGTGCTGAGGAATCCTCGGTTAAGGAAGAAGGTGGACAGTTTGGAGGTTCCTTTGTCAAAGTTGGCCTCATCGGAACATATGCCATGGAGATGGAGGAAACTGGGGAAATAGAATGGAATCTGTACAGGAAGCAGGGTGCGAGAACGTATAGTCCAGGTAGCTGTGGGAGTCGGTGGGTTTATAGTGGATATTAGTGGCCAGTCTATTCCCAGAAATGGAAACAGATGTTGAGGAAGGGAAGGAAGGAGTCAGAGATAGACCAGGTGAACGTGAAGGTGGGGTAGAAAATGGAAGCGAAATCGATGAACTTTTCCAATTCCGGACAAGAGAGGGAAGTAGCGCCGATAATACCGTCAATATATTGGAGAAAGAGTTGGAGGTGGGGGCTGGAGTAAGACTAGAACAAGGAATGTTCCACATACCCCACAAAGAGACAGTTATAACGGGGGCCCATGCAGGTACCTGTAGCCACCAATCTGACCTGAAGAAAACAAAAAGAGTTAAGAGAGAGTTGTTGAGGTTGAGGACGAGCTCGGCCAGGTGGAGAAAGGTGGTGGTGGATGGGGACAGTTCAGGCCTTGACTCCTGGAAGAAGCGGAGAGCTCTGAGACCATTCTGGTGGGGGAAGGATGTGTAAAGTGATTGTACATCCACGGTGAAGAGGTGGCAAACTGGAAATTCCAAAACTAGCGTAAAGTGTCAGAGGAGTCACAGATGCATGTGGGAAAGGACTGGACAAGAAAAGAAAAGACTGAGGCAAGGCAAGAAGAGATGAATTCTGCAGGGCAGGAATAGGCTGAAACAATGAGTCTGCCCAAGCAGTCTTGTTTGTGGATTTTCAGAAGGAGGCAGAAGCGAGTTGGATTAGGGCTACCATCCATTAGTTTGGAGGTAGTGAGACGTAGATGAAATGACCTCCCTTTATACATATAGGTAGGTTTTTAATCCTGGCGTCCTGGGTCAGAGATTAGGACATTATCTTGTACCACAACAACCCCCTTTTGTTTTAATTCTTGGACCCTACAGGCAACAGTCAGTGCGAATCAAGTTGCATTTCGCGGCCCACGCATAAATAGTTACAGCCAGATATGGGCGGGGCGGCAGGCCGGGGTAATTTGCATGAGGCTTCTCCATTGGTCCGGGGTACTAACTTTTATCTTGCAGCGGATGTTTCGTGACGTTTATAATTGACACACCAAATACCCACTCACAGCGAGAGAAATCTCTAATTGGCATTCCAGTTTGCATTGGCTGCGGAGTCGTATCCAATGAACGCAGGGATGGGCGGCTACTTCCGGTAGCTGTGTTGTTTGAGAAGCACCTCTTTCCAGCGGAGGAGAAGTTGCCGAGGCGCCGGAGGTTGAAATAGAAGGGGTCTTTACTGGTTTATTTAGAGAAAGAAAATTTCAAAATTCTCGTCGGATGATGGCGAATTAATAAGTATTGGAAAAAGGTATTTTAAATAACATCTATTTCCATAGAGTCATTAATTTTTTTTTTACTGACGAGGTGCGGTGATTATAATTTGCCGGGTGAGATCTAAAGTGGAGGGATGAAATCTTCAAGTTGGGAAATCTTCGATTTATTTTGTATATATATTTTTGATGATTTTTTTAAAATCGTGTTTGAAAACTGAGGCTTTAGGGAAGGTGCAGAGGGCGAAAGAACTAATTAACGGCCAAGACAGTGTGCCGGGGTCTCTGATTGCGCACGCGCGCTTCAAGAACAATCAGAGTTCAATGGCAAAGCACTACAACAACAACTTACATTTATGTTTGAGTGTTTATATAGAGTCGTATAGCACGGAAACAGACCCTTCGGTCCAACTTGTCCGTGCCGACCAAGTGTCCCAAACGAAACTATAAGATCATAAGACATAGGAGCAGAAATTAGGCCATTCGGCCCATCGAGTCTGCTCTGTCATTCACTCATGGCTGATAAATTCCTCAACCCCATTCTCCTGCTTTCTCCCCGTAACCCTTGCTTCCCTTGAAAATCAAGAACCTATCTATCTCAGTCTTAAATGTACTCAGTGACCTGGCCTCTACAGCCTTCTGTGGCAGTAAATTCCGTAGTGTTAGAGTAGTCAGTTATGCAGTTAACAAAGACATAGATGGTTAGGCAGAGTCTTTGTCATCAGTTAACTGTCTATGTTTGCCAGTGGTAACTGTGGAGAATGGATCTGCTATGGAAGATGGTTATTGTACAAAACCCAGCAATTTTGGATGCCTCTTGCAGCTTTAAGTTTTTTTTAAAAACAATAAAATTTTTAAGATTTGTTGGTAACTATCCATTGCAACTTGGATAAATATTTGAAAGTTGGAAAATTGCAGGACTAATTGGATCAGTCTTTCAAAAAATTGCAGATCTCTTCTGTGCTGTGTTATTGATAGTTCAGATTTTTCTATTTTTTTATTTGAAATCATTGATGTTGGGAATTATTTTAAAGCTGTTTTTTTAATATTTAGCAAGTGTTTTTTTTTGAAGGCAGTAAATGGATTTTGAATCTTATGGTGGAATTTAATGTGCTCACCTCATGTGGGTTTGGTGGTGAGGCTGGCATTTAATCAAGTGGGTGGGAGGTAGGTGGGAGCACCACCTTGGTTTAAGTATGTGATGGGAACGTCTTGTCTTCCTGTTGATACTTACTTATGAGCTTTATTCTGCTGCTTCTACGTTTAGTCCAGCAACTGACAAAATGGAATTGTTGGACTGAGGGTTCTGTTTCCATTCTGTATGACTCTATATGGGCCACATGATGTGCAAACCACTACAGCATTGTGTCTGGGGTCCTTTGTTCAAAGTTAATCAGTAGTTGATCAAGGAACGTGGTGTCAGCAAGGTTTTGGGAGAAAAGGTGCAGATACCCACCTTAATGCCATACCACCTTTCCTGTAACCTCCACTCCTACCCTGCAGTACCTCTCCCACTTCTAGCTGGGATCCATTGATAATCCTAGACCTTTGTGTGGATGTTGTGCTGGCGGCAGCCACCACATCTGATTGACAAGCAGATCTCAACAGACAACACTTCTCTCCATGGTCCTTGATTTCAGGATAGCCTTGTTGAAGTCCAGTTATGTGCCTGAGTGACGCTTAATATGGCAAGCCTTTCCCTAAAGGAGGTGATGTGGAGTTTTTTTTCTGGCTCCTCGGCTGACAGATGAGACTCCCATCTCCTACATTATGCGCTGCTCTTAATGTGCAAAGCTGACCAAGTTGGTGGAAACTATCATATAAATTCTGTTCAATTTTTATGTTTGTGGATTTTAATGTTTATTATTCTAGACTGTTATTTATCATAGCTTAATTTAAGTGAGTAAAATATCAAGTGGTGTTGTGTATGCTCTTCAGTGTGCTTGTGATTTTTGGTCAATTACTATAACCACAAAATATTGACCAAGGAAATAGTATTTTAATTTTGGTTAAGGGAGTGCTTTCCTTTCCGCTTGATTACACACTTTTTATTTGACTGAGTTATTTTTCCTGGTTTTCAGTAGCCTGATTTCATTATAATGGGGTGAATTGCCTTTTCAACTTTACTCAGCTAGTATTATTCCTTTCTTCCCATTGATATTTGCAGTAAGGCTTCCCTGTGATATGGCGTTGGTCTGGTCTTTTATATAGCTGTTAATATCTTCTCTATGCTCCCGGTGACTGAATCTTCAGAGGCTGTATATGTGGTAAGTAGTATTGCTCACCAACTCCAGTTTTTATATACAATTAGAAATTAGTTTGATCACTGTGCCCATATAATTAAGGTATAAGATGCCATTTTGACTATTTATAGTAATGAAATTGAAGGGAAAATTATTTCTGTTTGAGCATTGATTTGGAGGCTTTTTTAATATTTATCTCTTAAATTGTCATAGATTATCCTGTAATGACCTCACAAAGTGTTAAAGAATCAGTCGTCATGGCTGGGTAAGTAGATTATTTGCTTTAACCACCCAGCTTTCACTGCCTATACCGGCTGATATCATATCCTTTCCTTCAAATCTGCCATCATCACCCTTCTTCAGCAAAAGAACTCGATTCTTATGTCCTTGCAAAATACAGCTTCATTTTTTTTTTAGCCTCCTGTATTGCAATGCTTCCCAAATATTTGCTGAATATTCCCAAAACTCTAAATCCTTCCAATAAAGCTTCCAACCTGCCATAGGACAAAAATGGTTTTCAGCAAAGTCAGGGATGACATCTAGTTGGGAATGACAAAGGTAAACTTTTATTCTTTGGCTGTCATGACTCTGACGAAGTCTTTGACTTTGACTTTGACGATGGAATTTTAATAAAACACTTCTCCACTATTTTCAGGCCAGGTGGGACCTCCGATGCCTAATTGCATTTTACCTATCTAGTCACTGCCCAAGAATCACCTGCATCTCAATCTTGCCCTTTGGATTCGGTGTCCCCAAGGATCAATCTTTAGTCGCCTCCTATTTCTCATCTATGTGCTACCACTCAGTGACCTAATTTCCATAACCAGCCCTGCCTCACCTTCACTCCCTTTGACCCCTCCTCAGCCTTTAAATTATCGGACTGCTTATTCCACATCTGGACAAGCAGAAATGTTCTTCAACTAAACATTAGGAAGACATAAGCCCTGATAATCACAAACCCATATCACTAAGTCCATCCCTCTCCTTGACAAATGTTTGAGTCTCCTAAAATAGTTAGGCTTTCTTTTAAATGACATGTCAGTTTTAAAATTCTCATCTTTACGTGTCCTTCCATGGCCTCTGTGATTTTCTCCAGCTCTACCACTTCCCAATTTCCTTGTACTCTGCTTATTCTGATTTCTTTAGCATTCTGGATTTTAATCACTCCAACACAGGTAACTGGGCCTTGAGCTGTCAAGGCCCCCACATTCTAGAATTTGTTTCAATTACCTACTTTTAAGACCCTTCTTCAAAATGTATCTCTTTTGATCACCTGCCCTGATGTCATCTTATGTGTTGGATTTTGTTCGTCTATGCTTGTGCTATTTGATTATGTTAAAGGCAGTAGGTAAATACAAGTTTAGCCTTGAATCTTTTCGTGAAAAATTATGTTAAGTATTTTGAAAGTGCATTTGTAGTAGACAATTTTTCAAAAGCACATATACTTTTTCAATTAAGTGAACTGCACTTCTGTTGTCTTTATGGACAAAAATCGCAAAAACTTCAAAAAGATACGTACTTGTAAAATGGCTGCTGAGTTAGAGGAGGAGATAATGGGAGAGGTGAATGAAAGCTTTATTGAAAAAGAGAGTTTTAATGTTGGTAATAGCAGGAAGTAGAGCACTAGTGGGATTTAGTTAAGCAGTTCCGCTTGGGTGGCTGAAGATAACGCTAGTAAATGCGATAAATGGAATTAGGTTTGTATGAAATGCTTGACTTTGAGGAATGGCAAGCTCAGATTATTGGAGAGCTGAAGCAGGTTGAAAGTTAAAGTAGTACAGTGCCGTAGAGGGATTTGAGCACAAGGATGAGTGTTTTAAGTTTGATGTCTAGAGATTGGGTGGTCAGGGACAGGAGTGATGGGGAAGAAGAACTTGGTTGTACATAGCAGAGCTTTGGCTGAGCTGAAATTTTCAGAACTGGAGCTGGGGGTTGGTTACTTGGAGACTCTGGAAAAGTCAAATCTGGAGATGTTGTCAAAGACTTTTTTTGCTGGCCATACGGTTGAAATGCCAGTATTGATAGGAGTTATGCATAGTGAACTTACGGAATTCCTGTCATAGCATACTCTAAAGAAATTGTCCAAGAAAGTGGAGTCGCAGGAAGATAGGATAATGAAGAAAACCTTTGGTATGCTTGCTTTTATTGGTCAGTGCATTGAGTATAGGAGTTGGGAGATCATGTTGCAGCCATGCAGGACATTAGTTAGGCCACTTTTGGAATACTGTGTGCAGTTCTGCTCTCCTTGCTATAAGAAAGGTGTTGTGAAACTTGAAAGGTTTCAGAAAAGATTTACAAGGATGTTGCCAGGGTTGGAGGGTTTAGTCTGGGGCTATTTTCCCTGGAGTGTCGGAGGCTGAGGAGTGACCGTAGAGGTTTATAAAATCATGTGGGGCATGGATAGGATGAATAGACAACGTCTTTTCCCCAAGGTGGTGGAATCCAAAACTAGAGTGCATAGGAGGGAAAAGATTTAAAAAGGATGTAAGGTGGTGGTGTATAAAATAAGCTGCCAGAGGAAGTGGTGGAGGCTGGTACAGTTATAACATTTAAAAGGCATCTGGATGGGTATATGAATAGGAAGGGTTTAGAGGGATATGGGCCAAATGCTGGCAAATGGGACTAGATTTATTTAGGATATCTGGTTGGCATGGACAAGTGGGACTGAAGGGTCTGTTTCCGTGCTGTACATGACTGTATACGCTGGGTAATTCCTCTGTGTCTGGGACTCTCTGAAAATCTTCATTTAACTCTGAGACTCTGAGGGTTCCAATGAAATTATGAGAAATGGTCACTTAGAAAAAGTTATTCTATTAAATGCATAATCTAAATCATGATTATTATTCAACAGTCACCATATTTACCTTGCACACCCCCAATTATACCTTTTAAAAAATGAAAGAACTGTGGATGCTGTAACAACTATTCATCATTAACAACTATTCACCCTCCCAGCCTGATCAGTATTAACTCTTTGTCTGTCCAACTGCTCTTCTCTCTCTCTTTAGGCTCTATCATTTCATTTACTCCCTACCCCATTCCCCTCCCCATTTTTTCTGCATATAAATTGACATTTTCCCAGCCACCATCAGTTCTGACGAAGGGTCACCAGACCCGAAACGTTAACTCTGTGTTTTTTCCTTCACAGATGCTGCCAGACCTGCTGAGCTTTTCCAGCAACTTTGTTTTTGTTCCAAGCTATATCTTCTTCAGATTCCTGCAGCTGCCAGACCGTGGTCCTCCTCACTATTGCTGGACCTGAACCAAGACCCTTTCTCTGCTGGAGCTGACTCAAGGTGACGCTCCCTCCCCTCGCCGGACCCAACCTGATTCTCTACCGTCCCTGCCCAAATCAACTCCACCCATCTGGTACACCCTAACACCTGGAGGATACCCTCCAGCACCCTCACATTATACCTTTGCAGTACATACTTAAGGTTTGACACCAGCTGTCAAAGTGGCTGTCAGAACTTTTAAATGTCGGAATATGGCAACTGACTGCTTTGAAAGGGGGCCTTCATCTGACAGTTCTACACTGAGAGAGTTGTCAGAATGGAAGAATGTCTCTGCAATTCTCCTTTTACAGGTATCGAGCTTCCTTTTATCCTCAAAATTAAATGCCGGACTGTGATATAACATTCACTTTTAAAAGTTTAGAAATTGTTTGGGAGTACAGTAATTTTGTTATTTCTGCGTTTGACCCCAAACGAGAAAGTTGAGAGTCTGACTTTAACTGGTTCTTACTCAAATTTGTTCATTGCAGGCTAGTTATGTTACAGTCTGTCCTAGTTTCCAATGACAGCCAGGGAAGTGTATTTTACGTAGATAGTGCTGTAATGAGAACTGGAGGTCCATCTAATAAGCAGAAGTAAAACCATAAATAGAAACAGGAGTAGGCCATTCAGCCTTAAGCCCAGTAGGATCGTGGATGATCCGACATTGCCATGTCCACTTTCCTGCCTTTTCCCCCATAACCCTTGATTCTCCTACTGCTCTTTTATAGTCAGTATAGCTTGGCAAAGACACAATGAAATACAGTAATGTGTTTTGGATTAGTCACAGTCATACAACACGGAAATAGACCCTTTGGTCTAATCAGTCCATGCCGAACATAATCTCAAACTAAACTAGTCCCACCTGCCTGGTCCTGCCCCATATCCCTCTAAATCTTTCCTATTCATGTAATTGTCCAAATGTCTTTATAAATATTTGTAATTGTGCCCGTATCCACCAATTCTCAGGAGGTTCATTCAACACGTGAACCACCGTCTGTGAAAATAATTTGCTCCTAATGTCTTTTTTTTTTAAAAATCTCTCTCCTCCCACCTTAAAAATATGCCCGCTAGTCTTGAAATTTCCCATCCTAGGGAAAAGACGCCTACCATTAACCCAATCCATACACCTTATGATGTTATAAACCTCTATAAAGTCACCTCTCAATCTCCTACACTCTAGTGGAAAAAGTCCCAGCCTTTCATAACTCGAACCTTCTATACCTGGCAACATCCTGGTAAGTCTCTTCTGAACCCTCTCTAGCTTAGTAATATCCTTGCCTCTTGATCTCCGAAAGGTCATCTTCGAAATTTATTGGAACTTCATATTTGATACACAGCCTTGTTTGATTGTTCAAATGATCACTTAATAGTTTTTACTGTTACTTCAGGCCTTAAAAGTTTGTAGCGGATTCTGGTAATGATAAAATATTGTTTGCTGTATGTTTACTTTGCCTTAAAAAGCCATAAGCTAGCTGTTTTCGTTTCCTGGGACCCCAACTGACAGTTTTCATGAACTTGTATTTATTGCATTCGGATTTCTGTTAAAGTCTTCAAAGATTCATACTTAACTAGATTCTGAGTTTAAAATGGCAGTGTATTATGGGGCAAGGTATTGAATTTGGTGGCACAGAGTTCTTTCTGACGTTTGGGAACAATACTGATTAAAATGTGGGCAAGTGGATCTCATTGAATTTGAGATACTTGAACTGTGGTTTAAGATAAAATGTACACCACCTCACTAATTTAGGATTAGGAATCTAAATTGGATAATCTTTGAAAGTTAAACCCAAATGATATAATGTATTGGAGTGTAAGCTATATGGTGGGACATGGAGAGATTAATGCAAAACTATATTTGACACATTTATATGCAGGACCCTTGTTTCTAAAGCTTTCAATCACAATGGAGTATTGCAGACTGTTATTAAACAAGAAGCTATTGAGAATTCCAAAAGTCAATCATCTCAGAAGCAATCTGACAAAAATGTATCTGGGGGTACAAATAATGGTGAAGAAGAGGTAAGAAAATGATCTTTTTTTTGTGTTTTTGAATTTTCAATCTGGTCTGTCTTAAATCTATGTGATGTATTGAAATTATGGAGTCGTCTTGTTGCACTTGCCCTTTGACCTTATGCACACAAGACCCAGAGATGAGTGTACCATTAATCTGCAAGTTTAATTGTTTGAAGCCCATAATTATATCTAGCATAACTTGAGTTTAGCAGCTGAAGAAATTCAAATTCATACACAATATAGCCACTTAGACTGGTGTCCATTTGGCACCTGATGTACCATGTGTCCTTTTTAAAAAAAAAAATACCCAGAAAAATCACAAACATACCTTTTCCATCTTTAGCCACTCAAGCAATCTTGCCTCTTCCTCCCCCTTTCTGCTTCTTCCTGCTTTAGTCATATGCACCCTAAACACAAATGCAGAATTCCTCCTGACACTGTACCCAGTGATGGCAAAAAATGATTTTGAGAGGAAAGAAAAATCTGGGAAGAAGCCAGAAAACAATATGATCTGATGAAGGGTCTAGGCCCGAAACGTCAGCCTTCCTGCTCCTGTGATGTTGCTTGGCCTGCTGTGTTCATCCAGCTCTACACCTTGTTATCCCAGAAAACAATAGTTTTTCTAACCATGCTGAATGGGAGGTGACAATGTATCCTTTAACATATGACTCTTCCTTTGGGTCATTTTCTGCCCTCACTTTTACTCATTGAGTGCATCATTTTTGGAAGCTTTATCTGTAAGGAGATGATAGGAAATCCACTTGTTATTAAAGATTATGATAGTCTTGGCAGCAATATAAAATGCATTCTACAGTTACAGATTAAGTGATAATTGCTGTTTTATTAAGAATTGTTACTAAGGAAAGTAAAAGATTAACAGTATTAAAAGATAAAAATACTATTTGCTGAACTCTATCTGATTGGACTTAATAGAGGACGGTTGAAACAGTTAATTGTATCATGATACGTTGTTCCACCACTTTTTATTTTGGAGGTTGTCTGTTGTGCTGAGGAAACTTCTTTGGCAATTCCTCTTAATTTTAAAGTTGCAAAAGGCCAGAAAAATAAAGTAGATGTTGACTGTCATCAAAATAGAATTAGGGCAGTTGAAGTTTAGTTGGTGCAGACTGCGCAAATGGTCTTCCTTATCCTCAAATTTCTGAATTCATTCGAAGTGGTCTTTATTGTTCAATATCTGCAACAAAACATTTTTCTGTCTAACCTGGAGTTAAACTTAAATCCATCAATGTGCCTAATTAATCAATGCACACTCCTAATCATGTCATTGCCATTAATGAATACACAGTTGGGATGTTAATTTTTGAAAGTGGATTCAAATTTCTGTAATCTCATGTTAAGTTAGCACATGTATCTTACTGCCAGTGTTGTTATGGAAACAGCTTTAGTAAAAGGTAAGTGCATATCGGCAGGTATGTACTGGTCTAATCTCCTCTTATATGCAAACTGAGTGTATAATTTATTGATTCTGGTTGAATTTTTATGCACTGTCGTTGTCAATTCGTTGTTTACTGTGTACCGGCTTCTCTTGGTTATACAGCAACGTGTAGTGAAAAAGCGGGGCTGGCCAAAAGGAAAGAAAAGGAAGAAAGTTTTACCTAATGGTCCCAAAGCACCTGTAACTGGGTATGTCCGATTTCTGAATGAGCGTCGAGAGCAAATTCGTATGCAGCATCCAGACTTGCCATTCCCAGAAATCACACGCATGCTTGGAAATGAATGGAGCAAACTTCCTGCTTTAGAAAAACAGGTAGGTTTTTGAGATAACAAGGTGTAGAGCTGGATGAACACAGCAGGCGAAGCAGCATCAGAGGAGCAGGATTATTTTTAGTATTTCTTTTAGAGATCGAAAATTATTTGTTTGTTACTCTGCTCTACAACAGTCTAGAGAGCAAGGCAAGAAATAGCATAAAGGTTTCTAAATAACTTTGATTTACATGCTTTTGAAGTGGCAGGGACTGATTAGGGATAGTCAGCATGGCTTTGTGCAAGGGAAATCATGTCACACAAAGTTAGTTGAGTTTTTTGAGGAAGTAACCAAAAAGATTGAGGGCAGAGCAGTAGATTTAATGTACGTGGACTTTAGTTAAGCCTTTTGACGAGGTTCTGCATGGTAGATTAGTTAATAAGGTAAGATCACATGTGATTGAGAGCTTGCCAATTGAATACAAAATTGGCTTGATAGTAGGAGACAGAGGGTAGTGGTAAAGGGTTGTTTTTAAACTGCAGGCCTGTGACCAGCAATGTTCCACAGATATTGGGACTGAATCCACTTTTGTTTGTAATCTGGTTAAATGTTTTTGATAATTTATGACACATAGTTATTAGTTTGCAGATGACACCAAAATTGGTGGAATCGTGGACAGTCAGGAACGTTGTCCGAGATTACAAATGGATCTTAATCAATTCGGTCAGTGAGCTGAGGAGTGGCAAATGGAGTTTAATTTGGATATTGCATGTTGTTAAAACAAACAAGGGCGGGACTTGTCAGCAATGCTCATATTCCAGGAATAAATTTGAAGTATATGTGAATGTAAATGACTAAAAATCAAAAGGAATTGTGCAAAATTTTGTGACAATCACATTTTAATTATATTTTGTTTTTGATTTTGGGCTAAAATAGAAGAGGACTGTGCTAAAACAAAGGACTGTGGGAATAGTTGCTGTACTTTCAACAACAGACTACTGGAACTCCATTGAGTTTTGCATACCTGTTGGCTTGAAAACTGCCAGGCTGGCGCGGGGTGAGGGTGGGGGAGACCAGACAGAAAATAGCTTGTTTACATTGTGAGATTCAATCAGCAACAGATTGCTGATTGTGCAGTTGTGACCACGTGTAGATGCCAAAGGTTACCAACATCTCAACTGTGGTTCCTGGGCAGCTGAACAGCTAGCGTATGTGAATGATATAGGGGAAGAAATTCCCCAGACTGGAAGAGAGGTCTGTCTGTACAGCAATGTAACTCAAGCTTGGACACAGTCTCTTATCTCTTACCCTTTGCTGTAAACTGTTGCCTCTAACCAATAACTCCGAGATTTATACGTTAATCATTAAATTTCAATGTGTCTCTGGTGAAGAGCTGAAAGAACCTGGAAGGAAGACGGATTGGAGAACAGAAGGTCTTTGTAAGAAAACAAACACCTTGGTGAAGCCTGTGGATTGGTGCTATTGAACCCGTTATTCTGTCCTCCATCCATAACACTTTTTTTTGGTCTGTCTGTAGGTGTGTGTGTTTTAAGGAATTTAAAGGCAGTTAAGAGTTTTTAAACTAGTAGAGTTATATGTTGCTAGTTCATAATTTTGTTTCCCTGTGGCTAGATTTGGTTTATTCATAGTAAACAGGAGTTCTTATTAGATGCAGAAACCTGGTCTATGTTTTCAGTTGATCTGAGCCTACCAGGTAAGTCATTAGGGACTTTGAGTAATTTGATTAATCCTTATCTTTTGTGGTGGTCCCAAGAATAGTGGGGCTTTGGAATCAGTGCACTTTCCCATTGGGTTGTGACAATTTCAAAATTCCCAATTTATTTTAAACACTTAACAATTGCTAGATTTGAATCTAAAATAATTTTTAAATCCATATTCAACAGACCAGCTAGCTCATTGCTATTTGCTTTATGCACAATATCTATGTTCATAGATATTTCCTTTCAAGGTGTCTTTTTTTTTTTTGCAAGGATCTGTATTTATATGCTCCTCACTCCTTATCCCAGCAGAAGATAGTGCCTAATCCTACTGCTACTGTGCTGTTTTTTATATTTTCTTCAAATTTCTGATTTATCATAAGTAATACTTTCACTTGTAACGCTTCGTGGAATGACTACACTGCAGACCAGGGCCATAATTTTATAAAAACCAAAAGAACTGCAGGTGCTGTAAATCAGGAACAAAAACAGGAGTTGCTGGGCAAGCTCAGCAGGTCTGACAGCATATGTGAAGAAAAAAATCAGTTAAAGTTTCAGGTCCAGTGACCCTTCCATAATTTTGTAATATTTGCTTATATTTGTTATGATGACTCTTGGATAGAGAGTTTGAAAGAATGTGGTTTTGTCCATGTAAGTGGTAGGAAATATTTCAGTTGTTTACACAAGCACATGTTTATCTAGAAATAACTATTGTCCTGAATACTAGACGTGCATCACAAATGGAAATTTCAAATTTGAGAGTGAACTTTGTGAAACCTAGTACTACATATTAAGGTCACAATGAATGATTGTAGGTATAAATTTAATGCTAATATTGCTACTGACACCTATTCACCCAGCAGTTGAAAACTTTTTTAATCCAATATTTAGCATTATTTGGATGAAGCAGAAAAGGACAAGCAACAGTACCTGAAGGAACTTAAAGAATTTCAGCAAACTGAGGCCTATAAACTGAGTACAGAAAAAATCCAGGAGAAGAAACTAAAGAAGGGTAAGAACTGATTTGGAGTACACCAAACTGTGAACCAACACTGCTGAAACATACTGAAGACCTATGTTTAAATAACAATTTTCATATTTGCTCCCCTTCCCTTTTTGATGATCTTGATATTCAGAAGCTCGTTTCTATTAATACTTAAAATGACCATTTATGTGAGTCTATTGAGTGGATGCCCATGTTCCTCCAGCTCCTCTAACTCCATAGCCACTGCCAGATTGAAGTACTGAAATTTGATATTTTTGGCGATGGTATAGAGCTTGGCGGTGAAAATATGTTAATGGAGGGAGGCATTTCAAAAGAATGAATGAACTGAGGAAGAGTTTGCTTGAGGGAGGATGGTGATGATGTCTTTGAGGGAATTGGATGGTGCTTGAGAAAAAGGAGCTACTTACAGATTGAGTGCCAATGAACATTTGGAGCTTGGTGAGATTGGAGACCAGGATAGGATTTTGGAATCACGTTGTTGAATAGTTAGTGGTTAAACAAAAACAGAAGGTGAAAATAATGGAAAGAGACTTTGGACAAAATGAAGGGAAACCGGTACGTGGAGTGGAAGAGAAAGATGATAAAGAAATACTTGGGCTCTTCATATTTAGTGTTAAAAGATAGTTGGAGTTTTGCGGATCTTTTACCAGATGAATCTTCCTGGAATAAAAGGTTTTGACTTTGGGGAGTGAGGCACAATGAAATATTAGCGTAGCTTTTAACATTACTT